ATAATTGGAAAATCCCATTTGTCCGGGTTTTTCCATGGAAAAATCCCAAATCCCAAACGTTTGTGCGGCATGTATAGACATATCCAGAAGGGATATACAAGGAGTAGTTTTCAAATTTTTGTTACCAGTAGGATTCGAACCCTAGACCTTGCTACTTGAGAGGTGACAACTCTACCACTTCGCTATATTGCTACACCCTACGAAAATAAATATTATTACAGTACCTGCATTTACTATATTGATAGATTTAAAAATTTTTACAATTAATAATGTATTACTAACTTTTAAAAAATATAAGTGTTATTATTACCTGGTTTAGGGAGTTTTGTGGATGTGTCAGATATTTGAATCATGCCGATTTGGCTTGATCATATGTTAAGAAATTTTAGGCCTATAGTTAGATTTCATTATATGGAATATCATGAAATGGAGGGTATTTAGTAAAAACTTGACATAATTATTCCGAAAGAATGAATATCTGATTTTTGAGTGTATTTTTTCTAACCCAACCATTTGGCAAAGAGTTAGAATAAGAAAAAGGAGTATAAGAAACACTTTAAAGTTACAGAGGATAAGGCCCAAGAAAAAAGGTTAGAGATTAATGCGAAAGATACTTGCCTTAGAATCAACCAAAATAATAGAGTTTGTCTTCTACCTTTTTGGTCTCTTTGAGTATTTAGACTCCTGTTTGTCCTGCTCCTATAATGTTGCTCAGATCCAAATTTTTGAGTGTCGTATTTTCTTCTAAAACTTCTATTAAAGCTTCTATCATATTATCACTAATTTCATTACGGCTCAAATTTAAATATCGGAGTTTAATTTTATTTGACTTTAATTCTTGTGATAAGTTTATTACCATTCCAAAACTGATTTTTATTGATCTTAAACCTATACTAGTGATATCATTGTTTATTAAAATATTTATTAAAAGCTCTCTTAATTCATGAACAATATCATTATTATTTAAGTTCAATTCAGTAATTAATTTATTGCTTGTTAAAGCTCTCGCTAAGTCTTTTCTAGCTTCGAGACAGATATAATTAGAACTTAAATCCAACTTCTTAAGAGTTTTATTTCTTCTTATTGCTTCCAACAAATTATTTACTTTTAGAGGACGGGACATTTCATACTTGGACTTTGACTTGTATCTGCCTGTTAAAGTTGTTTTTGCTCTTTTTTCTAAAGACTCTATTGTCGAACTAATCTTATTTGAACTCAAATTTAAAGTTTTAATAGTTTTATTTTTTGCCAAGATTTCTGAAATTATGTGTTCTGATTGGAAAGTAAGATTATTTGAACTTAGATTTAATCCTTTAAACCTCTTTGAAATTATTAAGAATTTCTTCAATTTGTCTATTACTTTAGAAGAAAGATTACAATTGCTCAAATCTAAATTCTCAAGAGTTTTGTTACTTTTTAAATGAATGAAGCTTATATTGGACCAATCAATAGGATTGTCTCTTAAGTTTAAGCTTATAAGAGTTGTGTTTTTTCCTAAAACTTCTATCAATATTTTTCCTTTTTTAGTAAGTTTTTCACCGTTATTGCTTAAATTCAAATCAACAAAACGGGTTTTATTAGCTTTTAAAATCTTCAATAAAAGAGCTAATGTATCTGGGAATTCTACTACTTCTTATCAGTTTTTGACCTACACTCTGCCGATCTTTATTGAACTTTCTATTTGTGTATAGTACTTTATACGGAAGTACACCAGAAAGTCTTTTGGAATTCGAGTCTTGTGCTACTAGTTTACATAAACCAAATCAGTAATGTAAGAACTAAACATATTTTGATTAACTATATTGCTGGAATGAAAGTTTTTGTACACTAAATCACCTTATGAATTGTATTAAGCCCTAGCTATATAATAAAAGTTAGCTATTTTAGAAGCCCAATTTAATTCACCATATTTATTACCAATTTTCTGAGACTTTCCTACTTTGTGTACTCTATAACCATCTTGTAGTTAACATCTTTTGGGATCTTGGTTATTCCATAAATTGCATTTGCAGAATCGCCCCATATTTATATTAGATTTTTAACCTAAAATATTAGAATAAATAAGATTATTACACTTTAATAAGAATAAATTATATGTATTTATTTATACATTCCTTTGATAATCAAGCTCTGTAAGATCCGTCAATTCATACTGCCTTAAAAACGGTACCGAAGCCTCTTTAGCAAGATATATAATGCATTATAAACAAAAAGTATAATATTTTTAATATAGACTAGGTGAAGTATTACCTGTCGTTAGTTGCTTGGATTAATAGAAAAAGTGTTGAGTTTGGAAATAAAAAAAAGTTTAATACCCAATTAACTTATTTGTTATATACCGTAGTACTATATTACTTGCCTGAATTTGCCCCTAAATAAAGTTTTTAGGGATACTGATCTATCCCTTAAATTGTTTTGCAGCCAAATTTGCCTGCAAACTTTTTTAAATTTTAAAATTTTTTAATAAAATTTT